TCGATCATCGTAGTTACTCGACAAATGTCAAATTTTTTTGTGGTTTTTATTGATGCTGTATTCAATTTAGTGAAGTGTTTCTCTTGTCATTTTGCTTTGATGCTTCGCTGACGCATTTGTGGATCTATTAAACAAATTTTAAGGCCGTTTTCGGCTTCTTACCTCTTTCTTCTGGCTTGCGCTTTTCGTTATTATTACCTACCTGATTGTGCTTTCACACACATTTCACTGCCATTTTCAGCAAGGCAAGAACCGACGCTATAGACGAATTTCTACATTACCGGCAGATCTAAGTGAATTTTATCACATTACTTTAACCTGGGGACCCAATCGAAGTTTATACCTGCAGATTTCAAGATTTCTGTAACCGCAGGTATATTATGACATTTTTGTCATCGATCATGTAAATTGCGATATACTCGATTTGACTTACGCTACTTGCATCGCTACGAAGAATATACCGTCCGACAACCAATGTTGTTGACCATCCCTTTTGTTACTACGATATTCATTTCTGTTAGTTTGATTGCAATATATCGTTTGCATTATAGCCCAGGCACTTTAGACAAAAAAAATGCCCTAAATTAGACAAAATTAGTAACTAGCTGATTTTTGGTGGGGTGTTAGTGTTGATAAGGTAAGTATTTTCTGAAAGTTCCCCTTACTTCCTACATTTGCTTCACCCGGTACAGCGATAGAAAGAGCCTGTGACCGGAAAGTAATGAAATCGCTATTGTGCTCCATCTATGGCACCGATTTTGGTGGTTGTGGTCTTAAATTGTTCAAAATAACAGTGGTTGTGCTAAATAATAACCACTGCAATAATCCATAACATTTTGAGGTGTTTTATTTGGAATTTTATGTAAATTTTAGCAATTTTTTAACCACAAATTCAATAAATAATTAAAGCGCTTTCAGAGCGCCTAAAATGAAGAACTTTGTTACAAATTCGCATCTTTAACATCCTTCTCATCCTGCAGAGGATGCGATCGATGCATTGGCGCAATGTCCAATACAGCGGGTAAACTTGGAAGGACAAGCTCAGGCGTAGTCACAAAGTTTATCACACTGGCCTTTACAATCATATGTTTATTTAAATGAAAAAGCTCGTCAGGGGCTTGGTGCCGGGGCGACTTGCTCGTGAGATATCCGGAATCCCCATTCTGTACGTGTTAGGGGTTTCCAAACCAATATTGTACCTGAAGATACACGCGGTGAGAATGGAGAAATGCCGTATCAGCCGTTGGTTGGAGGACGAATGGCCAAGTCGAATTCTAATGAAACTTTCTGGTGAGCGACAGTGTATATCGAAACTGGTTTTTCTGCAGATTCGTTCAACAATTTCCAAACTGTTTTCTTTCCTTTTCCCAATCAAGACGAGGTCTTGTCGAATCCCGGCGTCGCGTCGCATGTAAAAAGAGCAAAGTCTCATTTATGCGGCCAATTTTTTTTAACGTCTTGTATGGTAAAAACCTTTATTTTTTTAGTAGTTGGTTTAACGAAAAATATTTTCGAAGAACACTCCGCTTAAATGATCATAAGCGCGAATAAATCCGCATCCATCGCCACTACTGCAACTTGGCCTCGATAACGACCGTCACAATCAAGGTGTCGGCGTCATGCTTTACCTGCAAGTCCCCACAGTAAGATGTCCTGCTTTCTTCACAGGCGTTCGTGCTCGTTGATGAGTCATACCCGTCAAATACTACCACTGCGGACTGACCATATTGTGTCAGTGCGTATTGGACATACGAATGGCAAATATCCCGGTTAGCTAGGTCGCGGCCAAACTCCTTTCCTGAGAAGGAATCCTACGTCGACAACGTATTGCACTTTGTAGGTCGGTGGACTATCAGTGTATGCAGCATACTTCTTTATAGTTTCCTCTAACATTGACTTTGTTGTTTTCCTCATGTAACACCCATCATACAACGATGGTGCGGCTTAGAATCGAGCTCATACGAGATATTCCTTGTGGCCCTCTGTACATTTCGACATGCAAGTGATTCTCATAAAAAGCTGATAAGGGTCTACTCGTGTCTCCTTGCCTATGATTATTAATGTGCCGTTTACGAAGCGGTGTTCAGTGGTTTACCTCAACTTTACCACCCGCACGTTAGTAAGGGAGGTATTTCAGTGGGGTCAAAAATGACCCCCCACTTCTTTGACGGAAATACACGTTTTGAAGTACCCAGGATCCAGGAATCAAACAAAATCTCAATGATGTCGCTCTGTCGGTCCGCCTGTAGGTACTCTCATTTCCGGCTAAACGGCTGAACCGATTGGACTCAAATTTGGTAATTCCTAGACATAAATGGGTAGAATTGCGCATACGCTGGTGTGCGGGTGGTATCTGTGCTAGGCACTGCAATTTTTTTATGTTTCATTATAACGTCACAAAAATTACCAAACATTTTAAAGAAAACAGTTTAAAATGCCATGAATTCTTGTAGTGGTTATTCTTTAGCATAACCACTACTATTCTGAACAATTTAAGTCCACAACCACCAAAACTGTGCCTGAGGATGAGCCCAACAGCGATATTATTGTATTCGCGTCACTTAAGTTCTTTTTATCGCTCTACCGGGCGAAGCAAGCGGAGGAAGTGAGGGGAACTTTCAGAAAATACTTACCTTATCACACACTAACAACTCACCAAAAATCAGCTAGTTACTAATTTTGTCCATTTTTTAACCTAAAGTGCCTGGGCTATTAGGTGTGTTATACCGAGATTAGTACCGTTGCTTTGTAAACAAAAACAAGTTTTTGAAGTTGCCACAGCTTTGTCCGAAGTCGATATCTATGATTCTTAGCTACGTTGTTTATTTACTCCGAAGCTATGATTATGAAATATTCAAAGCTCCGAAGACTCGGCTCATATTATTTTGTTTATGTTTAGAATTCATTAGATTACATTGCTATTCAATAGAAATTTACTTATTTGTGCATCGTAAAGTATTTTTCTTGAATTTAAATCCACTTTTATGCTGTTATACCCGGAGTGTATGTGCAAGGACAGTCGTAGTCGATCAAAATTTTGCTTTTGCTAGAGTCAAGTCATTCGAATTATTGATCCTTTTTGAGTATTAACTACAGTTTTAGTATATGATTAGCTTTCGTGTCAGACGTTAGACAATGCTATTTCGCAATATTATGTACATAGCGATTCACAAACCCTTTTATTTGTTTATGGTGTTATTATCTGTTACAGATTTGTAGAACGCACCTTTCTGAGCTCAAAAAGTTGCGACCCGAAGGTCAAAGGTAAATTTTGTTATTTTCGTCGATTTAACATTTGATTATATATATTAGCTTCGTTGTTTCTGCAGAAGTCTGATATTTTCTCCGACTACGTGCTGATCCCCTTTTTTACTAAAAAATATTTTTATTTGTTACTCAGTTGTAAACGTTGATTAACAAGACAAAACGCAAACGGATAAACGTCATATTTAAACGCTACTGACTTGTAAAACTGACAGCAGACTTGTAAAACTGACAGCAGATCTGTAAAAATTTTACAAGTTAGTAATCTAGTAATTTCATTGGCCAGAATTAATGCGAAGTCTCTGTTACATGGATCACATGATATTTTAGACATTTCTTCAAGATCAATTTAAGAACTAATTATTTACGTTTACAAATGAGTAACAAATAAAATATTGTACATTATACGCCAGGTAATAGTTCTTACTGGCTCTAGGAGATGACAGGCTCGCCTGACGGCTCGCCAGTCAACTTCTCCTATCGCCAGTAAAAACTCACTTACCTGGCTAATAATGTAAAATACTATAAATTCAAATATTGACATAGCAGACCTATATATTACACTGACCTCTTTGTAATATGTTTGAGATCATTTGATTAATTCCCTATAGATTATGACGTGCATACCCCGAATATTCACTCCGATCCACCTCTACTAAAGCGAGAAAGTATAGGCCAATAGTTTGTTTTTGGCGTGGTAGGCCCAGAGAGAGGCTGACCAATATTTTGAGTGGACTAGACCGTCCACCAGGATTACCTGCGTGACGCTGCAACTCGCCATTGTGACAACTCGCCAGCCGCCACTACGGCAACTCGCCAAAAGACGACACGTCATCGTGATAAATCACTACTGCGACAACTCATCAACGAATGATTTTTTGTGTTTAGTGTGTTACCGATGATTTCGTAATTATCCTTACATGTTATTGGTCAACCCATAAGTACCTAATGCTAGACCTAATGCATGTATTTCCAGGTTTAGCGAAATATTATGAACGACAATACGGCACGAATAGTTCCTCTCAATAAAACTATCTTATTTTTTTTTCGTTTGCAGTAACTATGTATATTAAACATTAAATTCAGAAAAAAATACATGACCGACTCTCCCTTAAGTTGAGGTCGAAGATAGGTAGATAGGTTAGATAGGTAGAGGGCCCTTTTTTTAATTACTGAAGATAGCATAATTATCTAATAAACTGAACAAAATTCTTTGACATGTTGTCACAGGGGCGAGTTATCCGCAGTCATTGGTGAGTGTCCAGTGGCGAGTTGCGCCGCTATATGCACCGGTGGATTGAAAATCAACCTTCTTTCCTATTCCGAGATTCGCGAAACTCCATCCTTATTTAAAGGAACTTTTCACACATTCTGTACCGCGTCAGGGCCCTAAATTCCCAATTTCATCTCTGGTCCTGGTCCACCTTAAAAATGGTCTTATATTTTTAGCCATTTGTATCTTCGCTCTTCTGTATATCTTTAGATTCACCTTATCAGCAGCACCTTTTTAAAATTCATATTCTCAATCACCCACCTTTTTAAGTTGTTTTGATTTGATTTTGATATACATAGATACCTAGATAAGTAGGTATTTATATAACAGTTTTTATCAATAAAAAAACACGTAAGTAGTAAACGTGCAGGAAGATTTACTTAAAAACGTGGTCGCACTTCGCTAATCAATCTAAAATAAAATTTCTCACACTATAATTATGCGAATGTAATACCTACGTACAGAGTGTAAGCAGCGATGGAAACCAACGATGAAAATGTTAAGAAGAAAAATCCAAGAGAGGGTGCCAATCCTATATCAGCATTATTTTTTCTGTAAGTAATTAACACTCGCTATATAGTTTATCTACACATTGGTTTTGTACTGCTGATTTTTCTGGTGCTTGAGTTGTTTAATTAATCTGTTTCTTGTATTTATACTATAGTGGCTCTTGCTCACAGAATTACAAAAATAGTTTTGTTTTTTTTCATTTTAATTGGGCGCCTGGGTTGACTTGGGGAGGGGGGAGTCGAAGTGTAAACATTTTTTATTTCATTTTCCCTAAACAATTCTAGTTGATTTTGGACTCATCAAAGGACTATAACATGCGATTTCAAGGTGTAAAGCTAGCGGACCTCCCCGAATTCCCTTCATCTAGGGTGGGATAACGTATCCCAGAACATTATGATTACGGATGTAACGCCCATGAATTCCGTTTTTGATTAGTGCAATGGCCTTTAACAAATACATCAGTATAGTCAAATTATTGGTATTTAACAACAAAAATTATCCTCATAATAACAATAATTTTGTGTTTATAGAGAGGACGCTTGAGTGGTAGTGTGGGATCATCATACCGAACCCACAGGTTACGGTGGCTTCGCTCATACCCACTATCCCTCCTCTTTTGTCACCGTTCAACTGTATAGCGGTACCGTCGAAGCATTTCTTCAGTACCTACGTGACTTGTTTGTTTGTTTGGATTATGCTCCTATGTAGTTTTTCCTTTTTTAAATCTTTTTTATCTTGCATTCATACCGGATGATTCTGTCCCTTTTATTATCAAAAGATGTATCTATCGGGACCTTTCTAGCAAATACCAATGAGGTTTCATTACTGCTTTTGTTGACTGGCTTTTAATATTTTTCATTATAGCGCCTTTGTTGTCTTTTTGATCTTAGGTCATGGACATTAACACTCTTAGTATGTGGCGTGTTGTTTGACGTAGTGATACCGGTCAGCAGCATTTTAGCAAAGTGTCGACTTTTCTATTTTCGCATTTCCGCAGAAACTACACTTCATCAGTTGGGTGGTTGTCCTTGTGTCTAGTGTCAGATTGTGCAGTAAAGAGAAAGAATGGAAGGATTTTTAATTGTTTTACTAACATTTTAATTCGTATACGTATCTACGTAAACGAAACCTAAACAGGACTGTCCTCCCGGGAGGAGGACGCTTGGCAACCCTAGTTTCTTGACTAATAGTCTCAAAGGCCCAAAAATAATTTAACTGTATAAGCAATACTCGGCTTTTTACCTAAACCGTTATGGTTTTTCTGTGGTTATTCTAAAATTACACAAGTTCTAAAACTACTTACCTCATTTTTAGACTTTGTTGTCGGCAAATTACTTTTGTATTGTTCAGTGTGTATATAAGTAGAAAATTTGGACATACCTACCTATAAAATCTTGAGCACATTTTAAATGTACGGTAATAGCCAAATAATGTCTGTAGGTAAATTTGAGTTATCTTTGGATTCGAAAAACCGGTTGGGTGTAATTCAATGCATTGCCCGGGTAAAGTTATTTTATTTCGGGACAATCTCATCAGTTATCGACGATTTGCCTTGGACTTTCTGATAAGAGTAGTTTTATCATCATTTTCATTTCCTCGTCACTGGCAGTAGCACATTTTTGATAGTACGAATTTATTGACTTTGCTGTAAATAGACCAGTTGAGCACGCCCTGCTTCACAGGAAGTATATCTAATCTTATGTGTAAACAAAAGTTATCCGCGTATTCCGGATAAATACACAGTTTATTGGCTGTATATTTGAATTGACATTAGAATGTATTCAGCTATTAGCTACCGCACTTCCGAATCTTAATGAAATGCCCGTCTCTTTCGTCTCTCTTTGTCATTCAATAGTTGTTGCAATCCGGGGCAAAAAGGGTATGACTGCGCCGAACATTCCCTCTTAATAGGTAAATAGTTTGAAAAGGGCCTAACTATGAGTCGCATCTGTTTTCTGAATACAAAATCAGCATCAGCAACCACAAATTATATGGAAACGACACCAGAACGGCAAAATCCTTCAAGTATGGAATTTCCAAATTTTCAACAAATTATTGAACGATTAACGGCCTATTTACACACCAGAAACTATTTTAACTTCAATATAACATTTCTAGTGTGTAGTGCACGTCCAAATTAGCTGGAATCGACATCCGAAACATCACGCATGGTTAAAACTATCAAATACAAATTTAACCATTATTTTGAAAATAATCCAAATTTGGGGCCTAAGGGTCAGATATGCAACTTTTTTAATGCCGCCATTGGCACCAGCGAACCTAAATCATTCAAAAACGACCCCTAGAATGCCGAAATTCGTCAATTTTTACAGGTTTAAAACCTTGAACACCCTTTTGAACAAAAGTGTTCAAATTTTGAACCCACACGAAAATTTCGGTGGGTGCTGCGGGTCAAAAGTTTTATTTGGACCTAATGAACACCTGTACCGAGTTTCATGCTTTTGTCACAAAATGCAGCGAAAAAATTTGTACCGCCTACGCTATCTGGATTGGAGAACAAAGTTGTATTTCGAGATGAATACTGCTAAGTATTATTGATGAATTGCTCCATTTTTGCAATTAGTGTGTTGCTAATAGTTAACGAAGTTGTATTACACTAATTTTTATTAAAATTTATTAATGGTCGCTATCGATTTCGGACGAGCTTCGCCCATCCTCAGGCGATACGTCAGTATAGTAAAAAACGAATCATGAAAATAATGAAGATGTTGGAATGTTGAAGTTGTAAGTTATAGTATTGTGTTCTCAATACTACAGATAAAAATGTAATACAACTTCGTTAACCGCAGAGTAATTTAGTGATTTTGGCATTTTACTTCTATTCTGCACGGGAGAAAAATTTAGAAACATTCAAAGCCGATTTATACTCGAAAGGATTGAAGTGGCTAATGGATCTAAACGAGCTAAAATGGAAATTACCAAATGGTCAATCCTAAAACAAATGAAATGGTCATAAAACCTAGTCAAACTTGCAAATGCAACTAAATTAAAACTTATTAAAACTACACAAAACTTGCTGAACTTGAATGCAAAAGTGACCCAACATTTACAATGAACCTGCATACCTAGACGCTGCACCATAAGCAAACCAGTTTTTCGACCATCCCGTTCACCTGCAATTCGCATTTTGGTGGATTTCGCTAAACAAACCGCCACAAAATCGTCCTCAATTTTTGGGTTCTTCTCGTATGTCGGAGCGACATGGCGACACGAGAAAGAGAAACGGCGATTAGAGATTTTTTTAAGAATTAAAAAAAAAGTGCTATTGTTTGCATTTTGTCCGTGCGTCCGTCCGGACCCACTTCTGCCGTTTCGAACTACTTCTAGGGGAATGGTCCTAGAGGTTTTTTTTTGCAGTAGGTAGCCTATACCTTGAAGGTGTGCCAGACGGCCATCAAATTTCTCTGTCTAAAAGGGGCTCCCCCCCAACGAATGATTACCCGAGATGCTGTTTTTGAAAATAAAACGCATAACTTTTACATACGACAACCAATTGGTCGCAGATTTTGCATACGCATGCCTTTAGTGGTGCCAAGTTAAACTTTAGGAAAGGGGGGGGGAGGGGGTAAACACATGTTCTACCCTTCATGGTATTCTAATGAAAGGTCTCATCGAAATAAATTGGTTTGTACAAACTATAACTTTCCCGTGTGACTCTTTTTCCAGATCAGTGAGCGACGGGGCTTGAGGAGGGTTAAAAATTAATTTTATCTCTCATTGTAATCTAATATTAAAGGTGGCGGGGGAGGGGGGGGGGAATGGAACTAGTTTTATCCTTCATGGTACTCTAATAAAAGGTCTCAACAAAAAGAATTAATTTCTACCAACCACAGCCCTCCTCCTCGACCTCTTATCGCGATCGGGTATATTCCCTTATACCTAAAGAACGGATTGTCGGAAGAGGGTACTCACAAAGGGCGATTGAGGTGTCTGCAAGAAATATATCCATTGGTGATGTCAAAACAAAAGCCATTTCGGTAAAAAAAAATGCGCTTTATCTGCACAATTTATACTTTTTTAACTTGTTTGTTCTTAATACTCCCTGAACCCGAGAGTAAAATAATACCAATGCCACCACATTTCAGTAAGGTTCGGCCAATAAATAAAAAATTAAGTCCAATGGTTCGGCATAGTGTACCTGTGTTCGGTTTCGGCCAATTAAATTTGCGGAAATAATTTCATTGACCTAGATGTGCTGCATTATCACCGGTCTACAGCATTTGTGTCAAAAAAATGCAAAAAATTAAATAAATACAAATACCTATAAAATCTTACACAGGAATGATTTATTAAAAGGTAACGTCCCTACATTTATAATTTGTTTGTCTTAGAGTCTAAATGTTTAAAAATGGAACAGTTTTGCTGTTTCCGTCATGTTCAACAGAAGATTTTCTTATCAACCCGCCAAATATGATCTTCCATTATGCTTCCAGCGTACCTACTCGCTTTGGTAACGTGCCCAAATTCCAATATGTCTTGATGAAAGTGCTTCCCTTGTTCTTCAGAGTAAGCTCCCATATTATCCTTAAATTGATCTAAATTAGAATGTAACCTGTGCATCTTTAGAGACATTCTATACCCGAAGATGCAAAACCAAATCCTGACACCTCGTCATAATTTTCAGCTCTATGGTTTCCCAGGAAACACTGAACGGGAAACCATGGGACTATTACCTTAAGACTGTTCCAGGATTTTTTCCTCTTTGCTAAGTAACCGCGGGAAAATATCACACTCCATATTTCTTTTTATTTGAGGGAAAACAAAGATTCCTGCTGATTTCCCTGACAGCTTTCAATCAAATCGCTACAACGTATGTGAAAGTAAATATTTTTAATGTCCAATCGAACTTTATTATTATTTATTTTTGCTTGTTATAGGCAAAATATATTATGTACATCCCATGCGCAAAGAAAATTTATTTTTTTGTTGACCGGTGTTATGCTTATTAAATGCTTTCGGACGGAATGGACTTTCTGACTGGTGCCAATGGATTGGCTTCGTGTAAACGTTAATTTACTAGACTGGTCAACCCAGTCACGTCCGGTTGCTAGAGTCCAGCTATTTGGCCCACTTCTCATGTAAACGTGGCACTAGCGATTTTCGCTTTCATAAAAATCACTCTAACGCAGAACAAGTAAAAAATTTTTAGCCCTAAGGCGAGTAACTTCAGCGCATAATACTTCCCTAAAGGCCATACCTATGTGCGCTATATTTTTCACTACTAGAGGCATATATGGTTAAAATTTTAAAGAAATATCTTCATAAATAAGGAAGTTGACACTTACTGCGCAGTTGATATTGCGCGTCCTGCGCATGTGCTTATTAATCTGATATTTACAATATGCAATACGTTTGTTTTTACTGTAAGCATCTTTGGTTAAAATTTCAAAGAAATATAGATAAATAAGAAAGTTGGCATTGCGCAGTTTGCGCATGCGCACATCTGATTTTTACTATATGCGATATATTTGCCTTTACTACAAGTATCTGTGAATTTCAACCAAATATATTAATAAATAAAAAAGTTAACATTGCGTATAGCTTGCGCATGCGCAGTTCAATCGTCAAGATTTTCCTTGACTCAGGTGCCAGAGCGATACGCTACCGAATGCAAAAAGAACGAACTAAATATCTTGAAAACTGTAGTAGTTAAGGCCTCGGACAGACGGACGAACAGAGAAAGGGGCTGCAATAGCGCACCCAACTTCGTTGGAAATTGCGCTGAAAATAACATTTGATTCTCAACAACTAACTGCTACATTCGCTATCTTATCTTGACTCTCTTACACGCATGTGCACCAGTTCCAATGTACGAGAGCTTTAAATATTTTAAATTATTGCTAACAATATCTCGATACGGTCCACTTTTAAAAGCTTATTGGGCTCAGTGGGACGCGATACGGTTAGAACATGGGTTGTAGAAAATGTTGATGGCACAACCATAATTGTACAGCTCGTGATACCGGTGAGCAGAAACTCCTGAGGTACTACGACTTCTACGACAGATGCCCGACGAGTGACGAAAACCCTACATTACTTTCAGTGCATTTTCCAACTCATGTTGGAAGGCACAATTATGGCCACTTTCTCCGGCCTTCAGTCCCACCGTCCAAGCCCTTAACCTTCAATATATTTAATTCGTTCTTTTTTCATTCGGTAGTATAATTATTGCTCAATCCTAACTCTCTTATTTATGGTGATATTTCTTTTAAATGTTAAACAAAGATGCTTCTAGTAAAGGCAAACATAGCGTATATTCTAAATACCAGGTGTGCGCAAGCTCAGGTTGTGTAATGACAACTCTGTCATTTGTAGAGATGTACGCATGCGCAAACTGCGCAATTCCAAACTTGATTATTCATGGAGATATTTTCTTGAAACTTTAACCATAGATGCTTCTAGTAAAGAAAAAGATAGCAATGGTGGGTGAAAATCATTCGTTTCTACAAACTTTTTTCAAAATCTTTACAAACATCCAAAAATTTGAAATATTACATATCATTCTTTTGAAGTGATTCATTTCGTTTCAGGTACATGATTCCGACTTTCATACGAAACTATAAGAGGGGTGTACAACGGGAAGACATATATGAACCTCTAAAGGCACATAAATCTGCGACTTTAGGCGACAAACTGGAAATTATATGGAGAAATCTCTCCCGTAAGTACGACAAGCATGCTTTGCACGTAGCACTCTTCAAAGTGTTTGGATTTGAATTAATCTTTATTGCTATTATTAAGTTAATAGTGGAAGTAATTGTACTGTATGTTCTATCATCTGTTCTGCATTTGATTTAATTAATCCTCTTTAAGGGTTGTCATGCCTATGTGCGTGGATAAATTGGTGTCCTTTTATGAGCATCGTTCCAATGCGACGCTGGAAGAAACTTACATCTATGCTGGCGTACTTGTCGGCATCATTTTTCTGGACGCTCTTTCGGAGCATCAAGCAACGCTAGCTATTATGCATACCTGCATGAAGCTGAGAGTTTCTTGTTGCTCCTTAATTTACAGAAAATCGCTGAGATTAAGCGTAACAGCCTTAGCACACACATCAGTCGGACAAGTGGTCAATTTACTATCGTCCGATACGAGCAAATTCGATCAAACTTTCGTATTGTACCATTACGCTTTCTTAGGACCATTAGAAACAATTGTCGGCACTTATTTACTTTACCGAACGTTAGGTATCGCTGCGTTTGCTGGGATATCATTTTTAGTACTTTTTATACCATTTCAACGTAAGTATCTTTTATTAATATTCTGCATAAGTTTTCGTTTGTAGTTTATTTGTGTAAAAAACTGTCACTGGTGAGACTTCGCACTGCTCGGCGAACAGATGAAAGGGTGCGGCTTATGAATGAAATTTTGAATGGCATTCAAGTGATTAAAATGTATACGTGGGAGATACCATTTGCCAAGTTGGTTGAATTGGCCAGAAGGTAATGGTAATTCCGTTGGCTTCTTTTTGATGTTGTTTTAGGCACGAAATTGCGGCTATACGATCCCATTTCATCATACATTCGTTCTTATTTTCCTTGCAAATGTTTATCACAAGAACATGCCTTTTTATTAGTTTAGTGGTGTTTATTGCGATGGGTGCCACCATGACTGCTGATATAGCGTACACTGCTACCTCGATTTACTCCTTTATTCGGCCAGTTATGACTATGTTATTTTCATTCAGTATTGCTTCCTATGCCGAAGTTTACACCTCGATATCGCGAGTGCACGAATTTTTAACTTATGAAGAGCAATCGGTGGACCGTGTTTTGGGAAATCAGTTATCTTTGACCTGTTTTGCTCCAAACATTTACATGGAAGATGTGTGTGCCAAGTGGGTGACTAGTTCCTCCGAAAATACCTTAACAAACATTAACCTCGATCTTCACGGAAACTTATTAAATGCAATTATTGGTTCAGTGGGAAGTGGAAAAAGCAGCTTATTGCATCTTATTTTGGGCGAACTTTGTAAGACGTTTGGCGATCTGCGAATACAAGGAAGCGTTTCGTACGCTTCACAAGAAGCTTGGTTGTTTTCAGCCAGTGTGAAACAAAATATAGTATTTTGCCACGAGTATAATGAAGAGAGATATGAGAAGGTACTCAAAGTGTGTGCCTTGGAACGGGATTTGGCACTATTACCATTTGGAGATCGAACGATTGTTGGAGAAAGGGGAAAATCTCTTAGCGGCGGCCAAAAAGCGCGAATTAATCTGGCACGTTGCATTTATAGAGATGCGGACATTTATCTTTTGGACGATCCCCTCTCGGCGGTTGACTCGAAGGTTGGCAAGCATATTTTCGAAAATTGCATCAAAAACTTTTTAAAAGACAAAATGTGTATACTGGTCACGCATCAGCTTCAATTTTTGAACCAGTTTGATAATATAATCGTATTAGAAGATGGAAGGATAGTCGCGGAAGCGAAATTTGAGGAGCTTCAGAGAAGCGGTTTAAACTTCTCCAAAATTTTAGATCAGCACTCAACTGAAGATGACCATGAGCAGGAACAAGTGTCTCATCAAAATTCTGACCCTTCAGAAATCTACGATCAGTTGGAGGACAATGACAACACTCCATTGATTCAGAATGAACATTTGACAGAAGGTCATATTAAATCAACAGTATATAAGGGCTATTTCAAAGCTGGTGGTAATTACTTTCTAATATTTTTCGTCGCCTTCGCTTTTATAGGTAACCAGGTAGTTTGCAACGCTGGAGATTACTTTGTTTCATATTGGTAAGTACAGCGTCAAGACCAAATATGCGTTTACAAATGCTTTCAGGGTTAATCTAGAGCAAAAGGCGATCGAAACGAACGACACTGTAAATGAAAACATCATTATTTATGTGTATGGTGGATTAACAGGAGGGACAATACTATTTGCCATCGGTCACAATCTCCTATTTTTTATGTACACCATGCGTGCCTCCGTATCTATACATAATGAAGTCTTTCAAAGAGTCTCACAGGCTGCTATGAGTTTTTATGATTCCAATCCAATAGGAAGAATTCTAAACAGGTTCTCTAAAGATATCGCTGTTATTGACTATTACATACCGTACATTTTAAACAGTATGACCGAGGTAGGTAATTGCTTTTGTCTCATTTTGTTTATTCCAAAATGGCTGAGATTTCCACCTTCAACGAAAGGTAATGTGAGCAAAGTCACACGTAACCGACTGTTACTCTTGACTCTATAGGTCTATAGGAACTATAAAAATATGGGTTGTGCAACTTAGGGTTTTAACAGCAAACAGAAGCTTGAATTAATTGTCTTTAACCTTTTTACAGGTAGCCGTTTTGTTCATAATTTTGTTCGCCTTTTATATAAACAACTTTTGATCGTTTACAGCGACAAATTTAAACTGAGCTTAGCTTATGTGCAACTTATATAAAATCCATGGCAACGATTATTGCGACAATGGCTGCCATGGATTTTAAGCTCCACTTAAATTTGTTTGTGCAAAAGGCTATTAGGTCCATAAATTTGATTATAATTCATTTTTCACGCAACTTGGACCATAACGCTTTCGTAGTAACAATTTATTTAAGCGCAAACACCTTAATTCAATAATGCACCGAAACCAAGCATGTGCACTTACGTATTAATACGGTAACCTAGACGGCGCAAAGATACTTTATACTGGTTTTAGCATGTACCGGTATCTAGTTCGGTCACAATCCGAAGCGTTTTAACTTTTGCGGTAACATTTCACGTACTATACCGCGGTTAATTCTTTCGTGTCCTTTTATGACATATGCAATTTGACCCATTCCCCATACATAACATACGAACTGCAAAGCGGACTTTCGTTTCAATTTGCTGGATTTGGACAAGGTTAACGATCTGAATCAGAGTTTAGGAAAGATTTAAAAAATCAGAAGATTTCGAAACAAAGAATTCAAATATTCCGTAGAATCTGAAAAATAGGGAAAACTCCAAGAAACCAACAAAGTTGGAAGAACCCCAAGAATTTGAAAGACCAATGGAAAACTGATCAATTTTTAAAATCTAAAGATTATGAAACATTTAAAGAATCTAAAGGAAAATGAAATATTTTAAAGAGCCAAGGATTCGATATTAAAAACTTAAAGCTTATCTAAATACAATTGATGATGACACGTAATTGTGATGATTTGAGAATTCCTTTACACAGAACGGCGCAATATAAAAAAGGGCCGTACCATTCATGCATAAAAGCTATAAACTAACTTGACTACTACAAATAGTTACCTAATGTTTCTCTTTTATGTATTGACCATGCCGAATGCCGATGTTCATTATTTTCTTGTACAAATTATGATGGCAATAAATTATTATTACCTATATTGGCAAAAATGCAAAGAATCCGATCCATTAAAAATATCTAAACAGTCTGTATAAACTGAAGAACCGAAATGAGTCCAGAAGTCTCTCAAGAACGAGAAAGGAGAAACAATTACACAAAATGTAAACACGGACAACTCACTCCTCGAGGAAATAAGTAAATTCAGGAACTCCTCAATGGTAACGAAGCGCCAAGCTCACAACGCTTCTTGATACCGGGTGTTCAGCAAAGCTGGACGATTTCACAAATATACGGTGTGGTCACAATTCCGGGTATCAACTTTGCGGCGAAAAGCGGGTGCTTCGTTACAGTATATAGATAGAGGCCTCGGAGGAGGTAAAACGGGGAGTTCATATAGGAGAAATGCCGAAGAAATCAAAGAAAATCGTTATTTTAGGAATAATACGCGATTGAAACGCGCCTACGTAAATAGTTTGCGATTACACTTTTCACTTGTTTAATCTAGTTTATCGTAACTCCAGATACTGAAAGAAGGTCGTGAAGGTGATTATCTCAGCCACATTAACTTAGATGAAGTAGTTCGCAATCTGCACAGTTTCCTTTCAGATTCTTCTAATGTTAATTGGAGCTGTCGTGCTCTCGTCTACAGTGAATGTGTGGTTCCTAATTCCTTCGTTTGGTCTATTTATTCTGTTTTATTTCTTAAGAATCGTATTCTTAAGAACTAGCCGAAGCGTGAAGCGGATAGAAGGAATAAGTAAGTTGTAGTCCGAATCAATTGAATGAACAAACAAATCGTGAATTTCAATTATGACTTTTCTCAGATCGAAGCCCGATTCTCACCCATGTAACTGCGTCACTTTACGGACTATCAACGATCAGAGCGTATTCGGCACAAAACCTTTTAATACAGGAATACGATTCGCTACAAGACAAGCACAGTTCTGCGTGGTATCTATTTATATCAGCTAGTAAAGCTTTTGGTTGTTGGTTGGAAATGATATGCAATTTATTTGTATCTGGAATCATTGTCAGCTTAGTAGTTATTCCAAAAGGTAGAAGAGTATTAATAAACTTGCATCTTAGTTTTCACTTTTTAGGCTATTACGGCGGAGACATCGGTTTAGTTTTAACCCAATACTTGGGACTAATGGGCTCTTTACAATATGGAATGCGACAGTGGAGCGAATTAGAAAACAACATGATATCGGTGGAACGAATTTTGGAGTTAAAGGATGCGGAAGCAGAGCCGATACGTGAATCTAAACCTGTGCCGAAATTGTGGCCGGAGTTTGGCAGAATAGAATTTGTACACGTTTGCCTAAATTACACTAAAGATTTACCTATATTGCGAAATTTAAATTTCACTATTCAGCCTGGGGAAAAGGTTGGAATAGTCGGTCGAACGGGGGCCGGAAAAACTTCGACTGTAGCCGCATTGTTTCAACTTTATAAAATCGAAGGATCGATTATAATAGACGACGTAGACACAACTAAAATAGATTTAAAACTTTTACGGACAAAAATCTCGATCATTCCACAAGATCCAGTGTTGTTTAATGGTACACTGAGGAAAAACTTGGACCCATTTGACGAATGTAATGATGATGTCATCTGGAACGCTTTAGACCAGGTGGAATTGAAATCAACCGTCAGTGATTCGATGGCTGGTTTGAATATAAATGTATGGGAGAATGGTTCCAATTTCAGTGTTGGACAACGACAGCTCATTTGCTTAGCGCGCGCAATAATTCGCAACAATAACATTCTCGTCATGGATGAAGCGACCGCGAATGTTGATCCATATACCGATGCCTTAATTCAGAAAACTATTAGGAATAATTTCTCTCGTTGCACTGTCATCACAATCGCTCATCGTTTGCACACCATTATGGATTCGGACAGAGTTTTAGTCATGGACGCGGGTTGTGTGATCGAATTTGATCATCCCTATACCTTACTGCAGCAGAAAAACGGCATCTTTTCTTCCATGGTAGAAATGACAGGAAAGAATATTGCAAATAAGCTTTATTGTATTGCAGAACAGGTAAGTCCCAAGAGTGTTCATGGATTTGTTACAGTAATTCTTGCCTTTTTTAGAGTTTTCAAGAAATGAAGAACAAATGATGAGGGCGATATAGAAGACTTAGTCACAGTCATATTGCAATGATACGTTTTGGGTACCTACTATAAACATGCTCGTATAGTTGTATTATTTATTATGAAATAAACAAGTGCATTGCAAATTGCAAGACATATAGCAAACTGCATTCATTATCCAATAATCAATTACTGAGTTTTCTCATTGTAAAATTAGACATAGGTAAGTACCTACCTAATACCCGTGTTAGTAAATCAGTGCATTCCAGTATAGGTACAAAATACTATATGCGGGCTGCTGTATCTCCGTGTAACACAACTCACATGATTTGCCTTGAAAGCCCCTCAAAGAATTTCGTTTTACAAGACTATAAATTTCTGCGTTTACAAAGGTTTGCGTCGAAGGACCGGCTAAGAATTCAATATGCGATCGAAACTTGACCTGCATAGGTACGCTTCGAAAGTTTGACTAAGAGTATCTCTCTCCCACCCGATTTTTACTTATGTGCTCGCCGAATCCCAAATACGAAACGACTCCAACGCAAACCAAACGTTCACTCTGTTTTTCATACATGATGGTATGACAGAAACACCGTCCCTCATTTCCTGACACAACCATTCCTGGAACCGGCAACACTGTAGCGTATGACGCTTATCTACTTGTTCAAATATTAAGTCTTGTTTATTTACAAGTTCGGCGTTTTAATTAGTAGCGATAAATACTTACGCAGCGAGATTTAAGCGGGATCACTGCCACTATAAATGAAAATAAACTCGGAAATCCCAAATACTATAATACACAACTCAATCCAAATATTTCGTATTAAAATAAACATTCTATTTAAACTAAATCTAAAGCATTATTAATCCGTATTTAAAACTAAACATACTCCTTGTAGCACCCAATGGCTTATATGTTCAGGGGTACCCAAATCTGCCTCGAAAACAAGCCCGACGCCCATAGCGTTACGTCGAGCGGATGTCGTATACACAGGCGTTCGCAATGTATTTTGCAATTTTAACCGATAGGATTCAATCGGTATGACATTTAAAATCGGTAGTTCCTCGATCAGAATCTTCGGTATGGATTTTTGAAGAAATTTCCTCTTTACATCCCAGCGCGCACCTTCTAAGTATAGCCCGTGAATAAAGCAGGTGCCCTACACGCAAGTCAATATTAATGGGAATAGTGAGGCGGAGATCTTACCGTTTCGGGACGTTCTTCAACATCCATGGGACTTAAATAACTTGTTACGGTGGTGTATATTGTTGATCGGTCTAAAGGCCAATTGTTCTTACGACACGCTATTTGGACTAACGCGGCCAGGTAGGTTTCAGGAATGTGCAAACCCGACAACCATAGCACCATTGGATCACCCTGCGCGGCCTGTCCAAATGAGATTGGTTACCTTACTGTGACATGCAAGTATACGAACTATCTACCCAAAATGAGTATTGCGAATGCCTCGCCTGAAAGTGTTGCATCCATCCGCCCAAATTTTTACGTGTAGCCGGTGCCAATTTTCTCCACGATGCTGGCAACTGTCCGTTATATAAAGATATCGCGACGTTATCTAAGACGGCGTCCATACCAATTTCGCCGACAAGCGCCTTCTTTAACTGTTGCAAGTTACGCTTCATCACTGACAATAATTTGTTGTATCTCTCGAGTTCTTGCAAGAGAACTATTATCGTCGGAGTCATAACGAGTTGAAAATGCTTGCGCACTCGCCATATCTCGTATATGGGTGGAATTTTTTGGAGTATGTCATTAGCCACGTTCATTATGTGTTCTTCTCTGCTCATACCTTCCCCGGAACCTCCTAAAATATTTAAATATTGCTAAAATATTTCTGGGCCTATAGCGCGTTTGCGCCTCCAGATGCAGCATGATGCTTATGGACAATGACAGCACAAGGAGATTATGTTGTGTTGTAATCTTAGACCATGTAGTACATGGTACATCAATTGTAACTAAAATATGGTCAAGGACATTGCCTGGGTATGTGCGTTTCAGGGTAAACGAGTCTGTCCGAAATTGTCCGATTAGACACGATTTGAGACTGTCAACCTATAAATTAACAAACGTCAATTAATTAATCGCCTAGATATGCCAAAAAATCAAACTTATTCTTATTTGTGGACGTATAGAAAATAATCAAGAGTATTTAAAGCTTCCCGTACTACGCGGTTGCCATAAAAGTTACTCCTTACGCGATCCGAGTGGTGTTCATATGACTTTAGCTTACCCTGAGATTCACATACCCACGTCTACAGTGCCCTCTATCCGTGACCACCCATTTTGTATTGAAAGCAGTCCATGTACTATGTGGTCTAAGGTTTTAATACTTCAATTCAATTATATGTCAGTTTGACATAATTGCGGTGAAGAACAAGCATAGCGTTAGCGAAGAATGACGGCAGTGGCAGATTTACAAATTTGCCGCCAGTAGGCTATTCCACTATTGCCGCCCCTACTGACTGACTGAAATTTGATACCCTAGTTCGCAATATTAATTATATTTATTTGTTACTCAGTTGTAAACGTTGATTAACAAGACAAAACGCAAACGGGTAAACGTCATGTTTAAACGCTACTGACTTGTAAAACTGACAGCAGACTTGTAAAACTGGCAGCAGACCTGTAAAAATTTTACAAGTTAGTAATCTAGTAATTTCATTGGCCAGAATTAATGCGAAGTCTCTGTTACATGGATCACATGATATTTTAGACATTTCTTCAAGATCAATTTAAGAACTAATTATTTACGTTTACAAATGAGTAACAAATAAAATATTGTACATTATACGCCAGGTAAAAGTTTTTACTGGCTCTAGGAGATGACAGGCTCGCCTAACGGCTCGCCAGTCAACTTCTCCTATCGCCAGTAAAAACTCACTTACCTGGCTAATAATGTAAAATACTATTATTCCTGACAATAAAATTGCAACTGTGATTTGTGCTGTATCGTCTTCATTACAAGAGCTTTTTCTCGTTATAAGCATGATTAGGTATTGTGAACTAGGAGACACAGCGTGTCAGTTTCTAGATTATTTTTACAACACACGATTTAGTGAAAAGTACACGAGAAATGGTGTTTGAATAACTTCTGAGCTACAAAAAGCTCAATCATGTATTGATTGTACTTGTTAGGTGCAGTAAAAGGTATGCTTTAAGAATTATTACACCAATATGAAAACGGATTACACAAAACTACTAAATTTAAATTGTAATATTGGAACGCTATTGTACAGGGTGAGTCAACGATTGCGCGGAGTAATTTAATGCCTTGAAGAGTTCTTTTGTATTGTGATATAGTTGAATATTCTCCACATTTTAAAAATATTTGGAAGTATACAGGGTGCGCTCACAAAGTAGGGCGCCAAAATTGTAAATTTTTTTAAATAGAACTCCCTGTACGTCTTTTTTATTATATGGTTAATATCCGAAAAACTATTAGTTTTAAAGATAATTCGATTTGTATGAAAAATTGGGCATTTGCAAGCGTCAGTATATTGTCAAATTATTACTTAAATTTTGTTTCCAGGTTTTATATCTTTTATCCGGGGTTAAGGAAAAGTCAAATAAATACATCTACTATGAAACATTAAAAAAATAGCTTACAGGGTGTTTTTTGTAGATCCAAAGTTACAAAACTGCGTATTTTCGTGTTCATTACACATAAAACTGTCAAAAACTTATTTCTTATATCTGGTTTGTGCTAGAAAAATGTTCTGTCAAGAATTTCGCACCTGATTTTCATTATCACTATAGAGATCTCGTAAACCGGAAGAGAAATAAGTAGTAATTTTCTGCTAATTAATTTTCGTTTCAAAATTTCTTATAACTCCACAAATTGCGAAGTTCTGGCAAAAAAACTGAAAAATGTGATTTTCATTCATTTTCAAAGACATCAAAAAATAATTTTAACAAACCCTTAGTGATTTTTTCTTATCTTTCTACATCAAGTTTCTTATTTCTTTGGATTTTTACGTAGCTAGATAGAGTAAAAATTGTAAAATCGGAGATACCAAATACTTATAGTATTTCATTCGGAAATTAATCTTGAATTTTTGCATTGAACTGTACCTATTTCTTATAGCAATAATTCCACGGCTTGCTTAAAATTATTAAACATTTTTCGTTTATTGTCTGGCATAGTGTCCATCAAAACGGCCATGGAATTATGGGCATAAGAAATACATTGTAAACTTCAATGCCAAAATTCAAGATTAATTTCCGAATGAAATACTAAGTATTTGGTATCTCCGATTTTGTAATTTTTTTCCTCTATCTCATGTAAAACCCAATATGGCGTCCATAAGGAATAAGAAAGTTGATGTTATTGATGAATAATTGCATTATAACAGAATGTTGAATTATATTTGCAGTGTATACGAAAGCTTATAACAAACATTAAAAACAGTTTTGTATGCATCTTTTAATTTCTGAACAATTTTTTAACACTCTACAGTTTTTTTCTGTAAAATGTACAGGAGGGCAGGATTTTGCATAAAACTGATTTCCCATGTTAAATCCCTATGTTCCTACTTACCGTACACCACCCTGTATATACGAGTATAAACTAAAGGCGCTAATCCGACTTTGAAAAACTTACCTAATTGTTCGTAGGTCCCCATTGTTGTTTTTCAAACCAGTTATAATTAAATAACATTAATATGGAGGAACGTGGTAATGCGAGAGAAAGAAAAGGAATGTGCAAAATGTAAAAAGAGCCAGAAGAGAAAGCTAGAAGTTCATGTCCTCGGCCAAATAGTACCGGAACGCAAACACGGCAATGACTGCAAATGTGAAAAAGAGTGTATTTGTATTATATATTTTTTTAGTTGAGAAAGGGTGCATTAGAGATAGTTTGGAAACAGGCTCTGCACTTAATCTGTAGCTCCTAAACCAAAACGGAACCACCGAAACTTTGCGACCAGCGTCCCCTTTTCACTAATAGCAATCCCGCACTCTCATATACTCTGTTGCCGCAAGCGCTATGAACAATGGAACCAACGAAACTGCTATTTCTGCTGAAAGCCAGGCTTTATAAACAATTAAACACGGCTGCTTATCGCTGTTAAACAAAATCGCGCCTACGTTAGTACACATCTACACATATCCAATTTTACAGGTATATAAAATTCGAAAAATTTAAACAGTTCGTGGTTTCTTATTGTTGGTGTTCAGCTTTTGTTATATCAGGTTATGAAATTTTTATAGGACTCCAGCCCAAGATTCTTAATTAGGTGAACGAGGTTTAAACCATGGGGTTTTCGATTCATCGCCATAATTTACGAAACGTAATTAAAATCTAGCTCGAAAGTGACATAATATTACAAAGGTAAGTAGCAGAGCAACAAACAAAAATATTAATATAATCAGCTATGCGTACACGACTTACCTGTTTGTGGTTGCAGCTCTATCAGATGCTCCCACATTTCTTTTACAGCTTGAGTGTAATAACCAATTTCCGCATTTGGATGCAAACCAAATACTTCTGGACTATTGACTAGGGGAAGTTCGTCGATCGCCGCTGAAAGTAATCCCCTGTAGTGTGTCTGTAATATTTACTCGTCTTACCTATATAATCATCTTTGATGCCATCAGTTGGTATAACATAATCAACGTTTTTGTCGTGATAGAAATGGAACGGCTGGAAAGTGTCGAATAGAAAGTCTCCCATGTACTCATTCATGTATGTTGTGACAATTCGACGATCGAAATCGTCTATAACTCTACCTCCATACATCACCTCTCCTATTAGGTATTTCAAACTGTTCCACGGCATTCGTGTGTCTTTCAAAGTTAGGGTTTTATTTAGGTAGATCTCCAAGATTTGAACACATACGTTAAAGTCGGACTCGTTAAAATCATAACTGATATTCCATCCAATCTTATCGTACTTTCTTCTCTCTTGAACGACAGCATGGAAGAACGCCAAGACGTACACCAGCGATTTAAATGCGGAATGTGGACATGCATCTAAAGTTTGCGGGCGTAACTTAAAGTACGTGTTGCGCAGGTTCAGTTTCAATCCATTTGGAGGTTCAATAACGACCTTTAAGGATTTTTGTAGTATTCCAATAGGAAAGGACGGCGTTGGATCCGTTGTTAGCCATAGGCGGAAATCGGGGTGTGGCTTGCTAATCTTTTCTAATTGCTTCTCCAACCCCTTAACGAAAGCAATCAGTAGGTGGCAGTTTTGAAGCATAAGCCATTGTCCTCTCGCAGTAGCGACCTCCAAAAGACCTAGCGCTATAGGTTCTTGCCCCTGTCCCAAGGAGAGGTACCGAAATTTTCCACCGCCCATTCCACAACGGTCGGCTAATTTCATTAGTTCCGCGGTTGGATCAGATCCGGGACTTAAAATGAATACCACCGGTGTCATGGTGTTACTTTGATCGAAGATGTTGTCTAAGCTTATGACCGGCGGCATGACGTACTCTTCTCCCATTGTGTTCACAATGTAATTTGTAACGCCTCGATACACTCGGTCGATTCTAAAGCACCTTAAAAGCATGAGGGACTCAAACCAATTTGCCTTTTCACTGTATCCACTAGGAAAATCGATTGATTCGGGTGCGTCTGCATCAAACCAAACTTGCCAATCATCCACCGACTTTGCAAACTCTTCTATTAGTTTCTCGAACGTGCTAGGGAAATCTGTAGATAATTTCAGCATATCCTCCCAACCTTGAGCTGGCATCCATCTCGCAGGACACACTTTTGATGATTTCTCCAGGCTTACGCATCCTTTAATGAAAAACTCTAGCTCCGGTTGCGTTATATTGCCGTGACTCAGCTCTAATTTACTTGTCATTTGAAAAGAAAACAGAAGCTTGTGCTTTTCAAACATGCCGGTACATCCGTAATCGTACACATTCTTAGTTAGACTATTAATGATATTGAGAAGGCGCTTTGCAACGACTGTATGTGGTAAGGCTTTTCTTAACGAATACGCGAATACTTCTAAGTAGGAGGACAAAGCAAACTGGTACATGGCATTCACTGTAGCCATGTCCGATAATACAAAGAACAGTATCGCTCCTCGTTTCGCAACCGAACGATATCCATCACGCAAACGGTCGATATCTACACCGGTCTGCTGCGCTAATGCCAACTTATTCATTACCTCCGAAGCTTTGGTCTTTGTGTTTTCCAAAGTGTTTATCAACTCCACGTTATCCAACATATTTCCAGTAGAAGTAGATAGCTCTCTCAATAGTGAATCTTCCAACTGCTGCAACAAATTTTTATTTTCGCTCGTTTCAGCAATTAAACTTTCTCGTTGCTCTTCCAAATCTGCTCGTTCATTACGAACAACTACGCTAAGTAGCTGATCTTCGAGACCAGACAAAGTTACCATGTAATTTATGACGACCGCTTTGGCGTAAGCTGCCGGATTAAACGTAGGATTGGCCAGTTTCGTCGTAAGGTACATACGAAAATTGGGATCATAGTCTACCTCCTTATCGCCGAGAAGAACAAACACCCGACCACTTACAACTTTGATGTTCTTCTCTAAGATATTGTCTACAACTGGATCGATATAATCGTCGACATCTTGAAACAAGATCGACGATCCATACTTAATTGCCATGTCAACATACTTCAAAAAATCAGAATCGTTGAAACTGAGTATCTTCAGATTAAATTTCTCCTCCTTCTTCCTAATCCAATTTAATGCTTGCTGTTGAGGGTCGATGCATAAGGGGAAGCGAGATCCTTGCGTGGTAAGTATACCATTTTGTACGGACAGCTCATCTGGAGGTAAGTTTTCAGAGTTCCACTTGCTTATTTCAACGTCGTTGGTTAACTGGACTTCTATTCGAAAAGGTGTCGTTACCGGAATTTCCTTGTTTACTATATCACTTTGCCAGGCGTCGTAAATCATGTCTTTTCGAAACTCAAAACTAAACGGTCCTGTATAACTTAAAAACGAAGCGCATAAGAGACAGTTTCCCAGCAACCGCTCTTGACCAGTGTGCAAGTTTGCCAAATCTATCGTCCATCGTGCCTGTTCGGAACTTAGACCCGATATCAACCTATCGGCAGCATTTAGCCGCCTCATCATTATATCAGTTTCTTCTTGTAGCTCCTGACGCCTCTTCATCGCGATTTCGTACTTCTCGTTGAGTTTCGCTAGGGCCGACTCAAGTTTGGCAATTTCATTCTGTAATTTTTCCAGACTTTTCTTTGCCGCGTCAAATTCTCTCTGCAATTGTTCGACTCTTTCTTTCTTTGGCTTAACCTCTTTAAATACGGCGCAGTAGCCTAAGACTGCCTGCACGAATTTGAGCAAACCGAAGCCTGCTTTACTAATGTTTTGCATGTCATCCAATTTTTTCGACTTAGTTAGGTGCGCCTTGACTGCCTTCACTTGGTTTTGCGTAATGACGTCGCAATTCAATTCCTGTAATGTCCTCAAAAAGCTTGGATCGGACATCATGCCTTTGGCACTTTTCCACGACACCTCCTTAATACCTCGGATGATCACGACGCATTCGCATACTATTTGGACAGCTTCCGGAGGTGTTGCAAATGAACGAATTTCAGTAATGTCAGACTTATCGAGCTCGGCAAGTGCGAGTCTGGCCATTTCCAAGGCGGGGAGTGCTGCGGATAACGCCTCTTCCGCGTCCGCTTGTTCGACGGCAATTATTTTCGATTGTTCGGCGATTTCAACGCTACGGGTTGACGCCACGTCCTTTTTATACGTTGCTTTATTCGTGCCTTCTTCTATTTCAACCAGCATCGCCTCACATTCTTTAGTTGCCTTGGTTACGATTACTTTTTGAACAGCAAGCTTTGCGTTAAGAATTTCCAATTCTCCACTAGCTTCTTCAATTTTCACCAATCCTCCCAAAAGGCGATTGCATTGGGAGGTGATGTAGTTATTTTTTTCTTCCAGTAGCCTCAGGTAAGTATTTATGTAATCCAGGTAATGTTTTGGAGTTACAAAGTTTTTCCTCCGCAACTTGACTAGGAAGTCTGATGTGAATTGTCCTACAGTCTGATGCACGAAGACCACGTGTTCGACAATAACCTCTCTGTACATGACAGGAATTTTAGGATTATCTTTCAGAAACACGGAAGCTACGGCCACCAATGCTTGTGGAGGCCAAGGGAACAACCAATCGATGCAGGTATTATTGACGAGACCCGGAAAGCTCCTACATCTTTTACTGAGTGTTTCTCCGGTCGGAGACATAGATAGAACTACATGGAGATTGTCACTGCACTTATTTAGAAAGTAATTCCAAACACCATCTTTAGCCACTCCATAACCCGCATCTCTTGCCGCATTTCTGCATTGACCGACAATTTGATCCTTATCTTCATCGCTGAATAGTGAGGGTACCATCCCGATCATTAGAATGTTATTTATAAACTCGAGAAAACCCTCTTCCGCAATTTGTGCGGCAGTAAACAAAAACACTGTACTCTTACGGTCGATTCCTAGTATGTTGAATAGCTTCTTTAAATCTTCTTTAAAGTTCATCTCGCCGTATCCGCGACATAGGGAAATCTCAAACATCTCGCATCCAGCCGTGAAGGCCGCCAACCTTGTTAAACTCCCTTTACCGCTTCCTCCCACGCCAACAACCATAACGTGGCCCTTTATCAAGCGTAATCCGCGATGTATGCGCGTCAAATGCTCCAAGGCATCATCGAACAGCACAATACTGAGTTTTTCGTTGCGTTCGTTATATTCGTCCATAATCTCTTGCATTAGATAATAGACCGCTTCGTAGTCTAGCAAGTCTTCGTAACAACGTTGTTCCTCTTCATTTAAAGCGTTCCTGTAGTCACCAAATAGTAGAGGGTTCCTCATCGCGTATTCAAGTATATCGACCTGTTAAAATTAAACATTCTGAAATGTTGCCCACCATTTTGACTTCAAATGAGTCTTGGTATGTCCGTAGTATTCAATACTAGCAAGAAAAGAGATAATCCAACAATTTCAGGCAAACCTAGAAATGTACAACGTTTGTATTCGAAAAACTACCCGTATTTTGACAATTAGCCAGGCTTCACAAGTGTCGGACGGCACGGTTCGACGTGTCCGGTACCGAGCCGGCGCTAGGTAATAGGGGTTGTGTTGTAGTGCAGTGTGCGAATTACAGAAATTGTACGGGGGGGGGGGCAGATTTGGCGATAATAGAAAATCGCAATCTCGAATAAAATTGGATATACCTCGATAAAGTGTTTCCACAAAAAGCGTTTCAGTGTACAGGGTGCAGCAAATTCCCTTTGCTTTTCTNCCATCAGGAAGATCGTGTCGGGGGCTACCACATTTCCTTTGACGGTACCCCCTTCCGACGTCCCGTTCACCCGCAATTCGCGATTGAAGATTTGACTCCACCATCAGTGAGATCGTGTCCCGGGCTACCACATTCCCTTTTACGGTACCCACTTCCGACGTCCCGTTCACCCGCAATTCGCGTTTGAAGATTTGACTCCACCATCAGTGAGATCGTGTCGCGGGCTACCACATTTCCTTTGACGGTACCCCTTCCGACGTCCCGTTCACCCGCAATTCGCGATTGAAGATTTGACTCCACCATCAGTGAGATCGTGTCGCGGGCTACACATTCCCTTGAGGTACCTCCTTCCGACGTCCCGTTCACCCGCAATTCGCGTTTGAAGATTTGACTCCACCATCAGTGAGATCGTGTCGCGGGCTACCACATTCCCTTTTACGGTACCCACTTCCGACGTCCCGTTCACCCGCAATTCGCGTTTGAAGATTTGACTCCACCATCAGGAAGATCGTGTCGGGGGCTACCACATTCCCTTTGACGGTACCTCCTTCCGACGTCCCGTTCACCAGCAATTCGCGATTGAAGATTTGACTCCACCATCAGTGAGATCGTGTCGCGGGCTACCACATTCCCTTTACGGTACCCACTTCCGACGTCCCGTTCACCCGCAATTCGCGTTTGAAGATTTGACTCCACCATCAGGAAGATCGTGTCGGGGGCTACCACATTCCCTTTGACGGTACCTCCTTCCGACGTCCCGTTCACCCGCAATTCGCGTTTGAAGATTTGACTCCACCATCAGGAAGATCGTGTCGGGGGCTACCACATTTCCTTTGACGGTACCCCCTTCCGACGTCCCGTTCGCCCGCAATTCGCGATTGAAGATTTGACACCACCATCAGTGAGATCGTGTCGCGGGGGCTACCACATTCTCTTTTACGGTACCCACTTCCGACGTCCCGTTCACTCGCAATTCACTTCTATTGGCGACACGAGAAAGAGAGACAGCGATTCGAGATTCACGAAACGTTAAACCGCGTGAGTTCGCAACGGAAGGTAAAAGGCGCCTGACTACTTCTCGAAGACGCGCGCGCCGCCTCGCAAAAGGTCGTTAATTTCGCCCCTATGACAAAAAACAAAATTCCGCCACGCAGGAGTTGTGCGCGTTTACAACATCTTTCCGACGACACCAATTTCAAAAGAATCGGACCAAAACTGTAGTAGAAGATAGGAAAAAAACTGAAAAACCTTCACGTTAGTATACTACGCTCGAGGATGACGCCCAGATGTCGCCAACCCCACATCATGTAGCCATGTCCCTAAGGTTGACAAATTTCACGGCCCTGTAGATACACGTACACCCGTTGCCTTTCTACAAGAGTTCTTCTACGCGCCCACATTTGCTGCCAGCCAGCCAGCCAGCCAGCCAGCCAGCCAGCCAGCCAGCCAAAGTGAGATTAAAAGCTACTTTTTACAAAAAAAAATTTTTGCAAAAATGCGCTAAAAACCTGACGACGATTTTAAAATAAAGCTAGTGTCAGCCTTGTCTCAAAAATCGATAGAAATACGACTACCAGATCGACAGAGAACCGACGATTGTTGTTAGATTTTGGCGTATAGACGGTATAGAATCTGTAAGAATTAAATTTTTCCAAAAACTACAATAAGTAAACCTTATAAGTAGGTGCAACCAAAAAACGATTCGTAATGATTTTTAATAATACAAAAGATATCAATCGAAAAGAGTTTGAAGCCCAATTTTTAGCGCATTTTTGCAAAAAATTTTTTTTGTAAAAAGTAGCTTTTAATCTCACTTTGGCTGGCTCTGGATGGCTGGCTGGCTGCAAATGTGGGCGCGTAGAAGAACTCTTGTAGAAAGGCAACGGATGTACGTGTATCTACAAGGCCGTGAAATTTGTCAACCTTAGGGACATGGCTACATGATGTGGGGTTGGCGACATCTGGGCGTCATCCTCGAGCGTAGTATACTAACTTGAAGGTTTTTCATTTTTTTCCTATCTTCTACTGCAGTTTTGGTCCGAGTCTTTTCAAATTGGTGTCGTCGGACAGATGTTGTAAACGCGCACAACTCCTGCGTGGCGGAATTTTTTTNAAGGAATTTTTTCTGTACCGCTTACAAAAAATTATTGTAAAAAAAAAACAAAAAACCGTTTTTTACATGTTCCATAATTTTACACTTTTGCCGTTTATTAACGATCCTAGAGATCGTTTATAATTTTCATTGCTATCTGTCGCCTGCCGGTTGGTCTCTCCGTCTGTTCCTTTGTCTGTCTGTCCATCTATCTGTCCGTGTGAACGATAACTTTGTTTAGAAATGTTCGATCGCTTTACATCTCCGTTAGTTATGAACTGAATTGCATGAAATTCAATATGGGCATAGATTTAGCCATATAATACGCAATGCCAAAAGTTGAGTCGAATCGATTCAAAATTCACAGTGCCCTTTTCGCATCTCGACAATTTATAAACCGAATTGCAAACTTTTTTTCTTATAAAAGTATTTGAATGAAATTTGATACATAGGCACTTGGGATAAAGGAAAATCAAACGCCAATTTCAAAATTTGGTTTTTGCGCATGCGCAGTGCCAACTTTTTTATTTATGGAAGAATTTAAACGAAATTTGATACATAGGCACTTGGGATAAAAGAAAATCAAACGCCAATTTCAAAATTTGGTTTTGCGCATGCGCAGTGCCAACTTTTTTATTTATGGAAGAATTTAAACGAATTTGATACATAGGCACTTGGGATAAAGGAAAATCAAACGCCAATTTCAAAATTTGGTTTTGCGCATGCGCAGTGCCAACTTTTTATCTATGGAACCATTTAAGTAAAATTTGATACTTAGGCGCTTGGAACAAAGGAAAATCTAACATTAGTTTTAAAATTTAGGTTTGCGCATGCGCAGTTCCAACTTTCTTATTTAGAAAAGCATTGAAATGAAATTCTTCTCATAAACTGAAATTGAAGTAGCACGTCAACAATGGATTGCCCATGTGCAACGCTATCTTTCATATTTGTGGCCGGATTTTTACGATTTTAACAGAAGTTGCATCTTACAAATGGGAAATGAATGCAAGTGGAAATGCGCTTTATGTAAATCGTTTACGATTACTTTTTAACTTGTTATTAATTAATTGATTAATCTCATTTTCGCAATATTTGAGGTTAGGCACGAAATTTTGAAAAACGGTTTTCACTGACCTCTTTGGATGTTATTTGGTTACTTTTTCATAAAGAAAAAGTCATATTCCATTTGATTTTTTTGATTTTTTTAGGATTTTGGGCCATAGTGTCAAAACTAGCCTCCTGGCTGAGAAGGATTCAACTAAATTTACTATATTTTGAATCTTATTTCCCAAGGAATGTTCTTTTCAACGATACCAAATTTGTTAAAATCGGTCAAACGGTTAAGAAGTTAAAGCAGGTTATTGCGAAAACCATTGAATGCCCCACACCATCTTTGTTTTTGAAATAACGAAAATGATAGATAAACTGGTTCTCTTTAAAAATGTGAAAAATTTTTTTTAGTATATTATGCGAAATTTAAAGAAAATGCAATTTTAAATCGACTGATGTATTGTTCCATCGTGGTTTTTAAAACGTGTTGTGTATTAAGGAAGGAGTTTAAAGAAATTCTTTGTAAACACGTTTTGTATTTGTCTTATGCGGCAATTATAAAATTTCAGATGGCAGTTATGCCCTCTGGTGGTCATTTTTAGAACTTGAAAATATTTTCCAGCGATTCTTCATGACCGATTTACCCAATAATTTTTGGGTACTCTTTGCTCCAAGTCATACGACAAACGGTTCTCGAGATATGGCCGAGGAACAGTCTTATTGGGTCACCCGGTACAATGGTTTGGACTAGTCTATTTGTTGGATAAATAATTCTTCGCCTATTAATAAGATATTAAATATTCATTAGGCTGATTTTTAATGAGCCATTTTTCATCTCATTGTCCAACTGAATAGGTACTTAAAACAAACCATCAATCTATTTTGGCAAGATAAATTAAACTATTTCAACAAATAAATCAGCAAGCATAGGTATTTATATACAGATTACTATTACAAAAGTAAAGCGAGGGCGTTTTTTATAATATTTGGTGGAGTAAGGCTATTAATATTATGTTACATTGCTCGAATTACTTTCGCTGCACCTACTTTTGCTTTTCACAATAATAATAATGAATATCGGTTTAATGATTCGCAGAAAAAAAACTGTGTTTAAAATATTCTCGGATAGGGTGAATATTTACCGAACTGGTATTCCATACTTTTTGGATACTGTATGGTTGAGGCAAGACTCATTACCTGATCGTGCACACAATTTGAACGTGGTGGCAATATTTTTCAGTTTAGAATTTTAGACTCACCTTTTCTTCGGCCTCCATTTCTTCATTTTCCTCATCTCCATCGGGTTCTTGGTTCGCGAAAAATCTGTCCAACTGAGTAATTATATGTTTCTGCATCAACTGTTGATCCTCAGTGTTGATAAGTCGATCGCAGATAACCCTCTGGAACTCGTTTCGCCATACACGGACAATTTGATGCTTTTCGGCGTAGAATTTGGGGACAATTATGCAAAGACCACAGACTATGCGAGATAAGTCTCGCATGTTAAAAATATAGTGAAATTTGCTCGGAGTCGGCGGCAGCTCCGTAATGATTATGTTGTACAAGTTTAAGGTTATGGTTATAAGTATTTTCGATATTTGCACTTCTTCGTTGAAAATAACCAGATGACCTTCCAATATGGATGAATATATGTGAAGAAGGGTCGAATCGGATGGGAAAACTAAATTAAACACGGTAAACATGGAAATAAAGCGAGGATCGACTTCGTTCCGACCTCCTCCAGCTATCCCCATCGCGGCAAAGTAGCTAATATCTTTTATTGTTTTCCAATTTAATTCTTTGCCACGGTCGTAAAATCCGCCTTTCTCGAAAAGCAATTTCAGCAAGGCTATTGGTTGTTGGGTACCGTAATCGTCTACTTGTGGCATATTCATGTCATCGATGAAGCATAATAACTTTTTCCCGATTGGTGGACCAAATATATCCTTCGTTCGTTTCTCTACGACCGATTCGATGTTTTTCTGTACGTCCATGGAGGAAGTACGAGAGGAGAAGTTAATATTCATTAGCACAACAACTTCGGGGTTTAATTGGCGTAGGAAATCTTGAATGATAGCCGTTTTTGATGTGCCCGTCTCCCCGACTAGGATTACCGGTCGACGAATCTCGTTCATAAGTTTTAAAACGTAAGTAATCCTCACGGTATCTACGGTAGGCACCAAAATTTCTGTGAACCTTCTTTCACGGTCATGGATGTATTCGGGAACTAGCCAATCCCATGCAACCCACTGATTGTTTTTAATATCCAGGCAATAGTCGTACATTGTTTCGTAAGCTGTTGGAAGTTGACGCATCTGTGCTCGTTTCTCCGACGAGTCTTCAATGGTTGATAATGAACATATTTTCTTTACAAACTGGTCAAACTCCAGCCTTCCAACTCCGACTAGTGATGCTCCTACAGAGTTGTACAGAGCATGCAAGAAGATAGCTTCAATTGGGCCCTCGTCGATTTCCTCTTCCGGGTCGCGTGCGTCCTCAATCGGTTGAGGGTACATCGAATCGATCATGAAACACAATTGTGTTATCATATTCAAGCCGGTTTGTGGTATGACTGTTTTGAGAGGGGAAACCTGCTGCGTTCCCAGTACTCCGGAAATGACATACGCTAAGGTACTAGGAATGTAATTCTCGAAGCACTTTTGAAATACGTCAAACTCTGGTTGGTAGGTTCGCGATTTTACCCATTTATCCCAGAAAGGTTCATAACCTAAATTTTTCGGATCCACGTATACCATGCCGGCTCTTGAGACGGTAGCAGGCGACGCGTAAGCTAAGTCGCCTACTTCAAATAAAAGAGCGCAGGTGGGTTGTTGCAGTCTAATTCTTTCGCCGTTTGCCAAAGTCAGCAGTTTGTTGTCATCCATCACGGAATTCATATTTTCAATCCAAAGCGCGTCTACGTCGCCATCGAAAAGAATGTATCTACGCTCATCTTTTTCCGTAGGCTTATTCATTTCCCTAAATATATTCGATAGCAACCCATCCGTCCAGTCTCGCGTTACGGTATCTAAAATTCCGTACAGTTCGATGACGGAGCATGCTTTGGGATTCAAGACTGATACACGAGTGGGTAAACCTAACAGCACTTGCGCGCCGCACAGTGTATCAATCACAACCGATTTTCCCCCACCAGTGGGCCCAACCAGCATCGACGAATGCCTTGTCATCATGGTCTCGTACAGCTGTACAACTTTATCGACTTGTATTGGCAAAACCATGTACCCCTTGCTGAGTAAATATTTCTCAACGGCCGAATTAAAACTGGGATAGCCCACTCGTGGGCAATCTAATCCTGGGAAAAGGTCTTGAATCAATCCCAAGAATAGAGGGACGTCGTCGAACACAAATTTGGGGTAATTCATGTCTCTCAAGGCACGCATTAGAACTAGGGTTTCCGAAATATCGGGCGAACCTCTTTTTAACACCCCAGCCATGCGGAGCACCGCATTCAATGCTCTTAATCCCCAATCGTAGTGGAACTGTTTCGACAATTGCTCACGCGCCAGTTTATACAAGACTGTCATCTTTTTAGCTAAAACCTTCGCTTCCAGGAAACCATCGGAGAATAGCGATATCAAGCAAATCATTTCCAAGTTAGGCAAAATACAAACCACCGGTCGAAATAGCGCCTTTACAGATTCCGGTAGCTCAGTTCGCCCGGCGTACCCCGGATTCATCGTGATGAATATGCCAACTTTACGATCGAGATCAATCTCGACACCTTCAAAGTTAAATCTCTTTACTTTCATCACGAGTGCACTGCGAATAGTTTGTAACTGGGTAGATATTACGGATAAGACTGATATGTCAATTCGGTTAAACTCATCGAAGCAACCCCACGCTCCACACTGTGCCAATCCGGCCAGTGTTGTACCGATTGCTTTAAAATCCATTCCCTCTCCACAATTTGTTACCACGCACAATAAGGCCATCGCTTTTGCTAGGTCTTTCGTCGTTTCGGTTTTCCCTGTACCAGCAGGACCGGCAGGTGCTGCTCCCAAATGCATTGTTAGGGCTTGTGTAATTGTTAAATAGATTCTATCGGTTAATGGGGTAATGACAAGACGTCCGTTTAATCCCATATATTCGTAACCATATTCGAAGGAGCCAGTGCACTGCCTGACCCAGAGATTGTCCAAATTATTCACCCAGTAAAAACGTAACTGACTTTCCCACTCGAATTCTTGTGCATCCGTAACGCTATCACGAACAAACCCTTCAACTATATCTCGTGCATGGACCTCGACCGTTGCAACGGTTTTAAATTTGAGTCTTTCATTAGAGGTAAGATAACCCCTCACTGTTAGTACGATCTCATCAAGCTGCTTGTTTAGTTGCTCTAAGTACTCTTTCATTGCGCGTTTATCGCCTTTTTTAATTTTAGCAAATACATTTTCCACTTCAGCAGTCCACCAAACTTGATTTCCAACCAGACAAACCATTCCTAAGTAATCCAGCATCCATTCTGTTCGCGGACGACGTATTTTTCCATAGTAATATATTGCCGACTTTGTTATGAAACGGTTTGATCGGCGCATTTCGCCTAAAACATCGTTCATCCACTCTTCGACCTTGCCTTCGGTGAAGACATTGAAGCGATAATTCATTACTTCCCCCTCTGTTGAGATCATCGCACTGGCAATTGCACGATCATCGCTGTCCCTTCCTAATCTTAAAGATTTAATATTGTCAAACATTTTCACCATATGATCTTGCACTACATCCGGTTCACTTCCGCCCAAAATTGACAGCAGCTCGTCTGTTGAAATGAAATAAAATCGTGGAAACCGTCTTCGCTTCGAATCCAAATAGTCGTTTAAGGACTTTTGGCATCTATCCAAACCAAGACCTAATCCTTGGAATTCGACCAATCGCCCACTGGCACTGCACGTTTCTAGTACGATCGGCTTTTTCGCTACTTCAGCCATGATTCTACGAAATGTCTTATCAATATCATCAAATTTCCTCGCTTCGTCGGGCAACTGAATCCTAATGTCACCTCCCACAAATATGCCTTCCAAGTACATCCATTTGCGTTGCACAGAAAGCCACTCATCTATAACTTCGCTGGCGTTAGCCAAACTTCTCTCCCATTTCTGAACTATCGGCAAAAAAGGACCGATAAACTGCGAACCGGCCATACTCTGCAAATTCATCAAATTATCATCAAGTGTCGCCATTATATCATCGACGGGGCCCAAAATAAATCCTCGATCCTCAGTTCCTTTCGTATGCTTGTTAATGATAAATGCCATCGTTGCCCATATTTCGGCAACATCTCTCACTCCTTTCTCAATACTTAATTCCTTCACAGCGTTATTGATAATCTCTTCCGCGATATCTTGGTATTTGTGCAATTGCATGGCAAACATATTATCAAGCGTAAATCGGTCAGGCGCCATATCAAAGAATTGGCCAGTTTTTACCATCAACTGTTTCCAATGCCGCTCTCTTAAAGCTTCGTTCTTCAACGCGACCATGAGGGGCACCACGTTTTTAAACTGCTTCATTTTCAAATCCAGCTGTAGCCCAACCGGATGTGTTCTAGCCGCCTTTGGAAGCTTCCGGAAATCCTTTATGAAACCTTCAATTCCGTCAACAAGAGCTTGTGGATTTAAGTTCGCCCATAGAGTTCTACCCCAAACCTCCCTGCCCTGCTTTTGCAACTTATAGATCTTGTAAACCAACTCCATGTTCGCGAAATCTTGCTTTGTTCTCAGAAAGTCTGAATAATCCGCTAGGGGTATGTCGAAAAGCATCTCGGCTGTCATTAAATCAATTCTACGGGCTTCTAATTCCTCAAACATTTTACCGTACTCCTCCATAAGCCGGACGCCTTTATCCAAATCGTCGCCCACGGCGCCAGGTCCCTCGGCATCAAACTGTTTAATAAATTCTGCCAGACTGTTACAAAATTCCCGAATTTCCGTAAGAGTAATTTGCGCAAACCTTTCCTTTGTCGTTTCGAGAGTTTGCGTTCGATAAATCGCCGATAAATACAACGATTTCCAATCCTCTTGCAGTGAATGGGCTAGTTCTTCATCGGCGGTATCGTAAGGTAGATCATGTTGTTTGAGAACTCTGTACGTCTCCTGATAAATGAGATACTCAATTTCGGCTGATATGTTCATGCGCAGGATTGTAGCAATTGCTTGCATGATGGCTTTAAACAATTCTAAACCTTTGATATTTCGATTTACTATTAGTCTTAATTCTGCTATTGTAGCTTTTAGGGTCAACATTTTTTCTTTTGTAATCTCCGCCAATTTCTGACCCAGAGTGACTTTCCAACGCCACGAATGTTCACAAATCGCGTCGATTAGTGGAAGTAAATTGACTCGTATTGGACCAATGTCGTCGAACCCTTTGCGTTGTCTCAAGTCTGAGATGATGGATGCGTAAAATGTGAACTTCTCGTCGAACATTGTGAGGGATAGGTTTTTGGATACGAATCGCGAGCACGTAATTTCCTTGTCAAAGTTCCAAAGGTTTCTAAACCTTTTCCATCCCTGAATGTATCTGTGTACGTTCAAGATGCTTTTATATGCTGTTTCTTGGATCACACTAATTACGTTATTTACTTGGGGCACTTGCATTACGTCGTCGTAAAATGTGAATTCAAAATGATCCTCGTTGCCGTCCATCTTCTGCGGTGGACACACGAGACATGTGCCATTCATCCAGCGCTTGAAACTTTTTAACCTAGTCAAAAAATCTTTAACGCTGCGCAATATTGTATTGTAAATTTCGGTCGGAGTGGGGAACAAGATTACATCGGGTTCTGATAGAACGGCATCCACTTGGAAGAGAATGGTCTTCTTCAAAATGTGTTCGTTAAATGTTTGTGTATTTTGAAGAGTCATTTTTGTAAGGGAAGAGTAAATCTTGTTCTCCCAAAACGCGTAGTAATTGGTCATCAACTTTGATTTTCCAGTGTTTGTCTCCAAAATAAGGTTTTCCAACTTCATTAAAATCAGACTCATTGTTTCGTACAACTTTGCCATTTGACAAACGCGTTCAGTGCGTACCGTATTCATCTCCAGAAAGAATTCTCGGCACGGCAACCTCGTAGGCTCCTCGGTTATGGGCTTAAAGTAAAACAAGTTGAACGACGCTAAATTTTGAATTCGATTGGTCAGATCGACTTCCACATGGTTCATCTGTTGAACTAACGATGACAAGGTTTTTATAATTAGCCGGCAGCTGGCTACGTAATCTTGAATTCCCAAAGAAGTCCAGATGATTCTTGAAATTCCAGGCTGGATGTTTATTTCCGCTTCTCGTATATGGTTTCGTAAAAACTGCAACTAAAATAATAAATTATACGTAACCGATATGCAATTCTCCACAAAACCAATACAATGGGCGAGTGTTAAGATCGGTCGGCTTTTGGAAGAATGATTTTTATCAAAAATGTCTCAAAAACGTGAGATTTTTGTAAATCACGTACCTATTATACCTACTTGTAATTCATTCTTACCTGCGATATAGACAAGTTTTGAATAATTGTGTTATAGTCATGTATAAATTCTTTGACGGCCACCATATCATTATGCAAACGTTCCTTCTGAATGGTGACTAAGCTAACTTCCTGAGGAAGAGGGTAGTTGAGAACCTCCATCAGCCCAGCGCCAGTAATTGCATCGAAAAGTTTCAAATTGAAATTTTCAGAAAAATGCAGAGTGTGCTCCGACATAACAAAGTCGCCCATCAGTTCGATCCAAGTTTGCCTCTTCTCTTTACTTAACTTGTCCGCCAAATTTACCGGTGGTTTTATACTGGTCAACCATTTCACTCCTCTAGTAGCACCCAACTTGAGTGCTAAAAACGAAATTCAATGTCTGCATCTCGCATAATAAAATAAATGAACAAGCATTAGGAACCGCGTGAAAATATAATGTGTATAGTTTATGCAAACATACTGGATAAATTTTCTTGTGTATTCGCTTCGAGTTAAAGGGTGAAGTGAAAGATTGAAACTAACAAGAGAAAAGTTGAAATAAATATAAATATCGAGCAGTGATTTAAGGTAGTAGTGTTACTGTTATAGATTTGAAATAGTACCTACTCCGTATGTAATATAGAATTCAACAAATCTGTGTGTAGGTACATAAAGAAACAAGTGTAAATGTGCACAAAACTCTTGTACAGATAAAGCGAATTTTTTAACCGAAATAGTTTTTGTTTTGACATCACCAATGGATATATTTCTTGCAGACGTCTCAATCGCTTTTTGTGAGTACCATCTTCCGACAATCCATTCTTGAGGTATAAGGGAATATACCCGATCGATCACGATAATAGGTCGAGGAGGAGGGCTATGGTTGGTAGAAATTAATTCCTTTCGTTGAGACGTTTAATTAGAGTACCATGAAGGAATAAACTGCTTCCCCCCCCCCCCCCCTCCCCATCCACCCCGTACTTTGATAAGAGGACAGATAGAAGGGCCGTAGTTGGTAGAAAACGGTTCCTTTCGCTGAGACTTTTAATTAGAATACAATGAGAATGAGATAAAAGTTTTAACCCCCCTCCCTCAGGCCCCGTCGCTCTCTGATCTCGAAAAACAAAATTTCGAATTTCTAAAAAATTTACGTGTCACACAAATTACGCGACAGCATTGTATGCCATATAACGGGTGATCGAAAAGTAGTGCGGACAATTTGAATTTCCTGTAAATCTAAACATACATAACGTTGGTAACATACCAAATGTCATTTTTGTAAAAGCAGTGGTGGATCAATTTAATCACTAATGCATAAATAAACTGCCAATTCCAGTAAAAAACATTAAAAACTTAAAGCGCCCAATTTAAACTGTCTGCAGTTCTTTTCGATCACCCGATATAGCTGCGTGCTTCTATACAGCTATGTATAAAATTTTACGATGCGCCTTACTGTATGCAACCCACATTACCAATTGCAATAAGAAATAAACTATTGTATTGGATTTTCAACCTTCTTGACAAGAAACATTTTCATTGACTTGTTCAGTGTTTTCCCAAAATGTTGGCACTAACATAATTATAATTATTATATAATATATTATATTTAATATATACAGTGAATTTTTTTTAATACGAACATATGTTGAAAAGTGTTCTGTACAAACTTTGTATAAAGTATCAAGGAGTGAATGTTATATAAAATAATTGAAGTAGTTGTATTCTATAAACAAATTAAAAAGCTTGTCAATATTATTCAATATCTTTGATTTTGAGTATGGTTGTATCAAGATAAGATCCAGGGTACAATTTTCACATGGTAGCAGAGCGTGGTTGGAGAACTTGAAATAACTAAAAAAGGATTAGCTTGGAAGTTGGTGCCTTGCAGTTGAAAAATAACGACAGATGTCACAAACTGGAACAATGGCGGAACAACAAAATGAGCTGAACTCCATAGAAAAACTTAAGGATTCAGAGGGTTACTCTCTGTGGAAGTTTCAAATAGATATTCTGTTGAAAGCGGCGGGTATTTACGGACACGTTGACGGTACAGAATTATGCCCTGAACCGGTAGAAGGAGAAGGTAAAACTGCAGTTGAAAATATAATTTCTAAATGGAAAAGACAGGATGCCAAGGTTCAAAAAATCTTAATTACTACAGTAGATAAAAGCGTGCTCATACATTTAATGACCAAAAGTACGGGAAAAGAAATGTATGACGCACTAAAAAGTATTTTTGAGCGTGATACCGATACCTTGAAATGTACGTTGTTAAGTAAATTCTATCAACTCAAATTTGATGATAGACAATGTGTTGCGGAAAATGTTGCATCACTACAAAACATTGCATTCAAGTCAAGTCTTTAAACGAAAATGTATCGGATACTATGCTAATGTCAAAAATATTATTAATGTTACCTGACACATTTTCTCATTTTGCAAGTGCATGGGAATCTACTGCTGTAGGAGAAAGGACGCTATCAAACCTGGTGGCACGTCTTTCAACGGAGGAACTAAAAACGAAACCTGATGACATTCCAGTGGAAGCTATTGCATTTAAAATTGCGGAAAGGACTAAGTACCGATGTAGAAAATGCAATCAGCGAGGACATTTTGCACGTGATTGTAAAAGAAACTTAGATCGTTCGAATTCTAACAACGACCTAAGACAACCGGAAAGACTGCATTGTACCATCTGCAAACGTAACAATCACGACACAAGCAAATGTTTCTTTAGAAATAGGGACAATCATTAACAGGTAATGACCCTGATGGGAATTTCATCGTGGACAGTGGAGCCAGTTGTCATATGACGAATGATATAAGATTGTTGGAAAATGTAAAACATGCAGAACTCGAATTTACAGTTGCAAACAACTGTAAAATGGCGGGAACAGCTACGGGAACCATAAAAGGTAACAAGTGTGATCTTACAAATGTGGCGTACGTTCCTGATGTAAGCACAAATCTCATATCCGTCACCAAAATTACACAGAATGGCGGAGACGTAGTATTTGAGAAAGATAGTGTTATTATAAGAAAGGATGGTGAAGTTTTGATTAAGGGAAGGAAAACAAATCAAGGCTGGTACGCCGTAAACATAGAAAGTGAAAAACCCAAAGTCCTACTGACACAAGAAATATGGCACAAGAAGCTGGGACATCTTGGTGGTACAAATTTGAAAAATCTTTGTAGCATGGCTGACGGCATACAATTTAGAGAAAATAAAGATTTCGCTTGTGAAGTTTGCATAAAAGCGAAACATGCAAGAACACCTTTCTTAGGTAGTCTTCCAGAAGCTTCGGAGGAACTAGAAATTATACACACGGATGTGTGTCAAATAGAACATGAATCGTATTGTAAAGAAAAGTACTTTGTCTCATTTTTAGACGACTATACTCATTATTGTGAAGTTTATCCTTTTGAAAAGAAGTCGGATGTGGTAGAAATAGTCAAGAAATTTATCAACAAGGTGGAAACACAAAAGGGTAAGAAAGTTAAAGTTCTGAAATGCGATAATGGTACAGAATTTCTGCGATTAAAAGATTGGTGTGCGAACAAAGGAATTGTTATAAATTGGACCACTCCGTACAGTCCACAGCTTAATGGAAAAGCGGAACGTCTAAATCGTACATTGTGCGAAAAAATGCGTGCACTGTTGTTTGACGCTGAAATTGAAAAGACGTTCTGGAATGAAGCATTAAGAGTAGCTTGTTATGTAACAAATAGGTCACCATCATCAGCGATAATTGGTAAAACTCCAATTGAGGCCTGGACAGGCGTTAGACCAAATTTGAAGAATTTACAAATTTTTGGTAGTGACGTGTATGTAAAGGTTTTGCCGAGTACAAAGAAATTGGAATCAAAATCGGTAAAATTGAAATTGGTTGGTTATTCAGCAATTGGATATCGTTGCTGGGATGAAAACAAACAAAGAATTGTAATCTCACGAGATGTACAATTTGTAAAAGAAACAAAATCATCTGAAGATGTTTCTCAGATTGTTAGAGAACCACAAATTGTTAATTTGGATTTGCTGGAACAAGAACGTAATGGTGATGCTGATGAGTCGTATAATGATATGCTGTTGCCAGAATATCAGAATGACAGTGACGAAAATCATTTTAATTCTGATATCATGGACGACACGGATTCTGAAGAAGGAAATAATGCAGATCTGAACAGAAAGGGCCTTCTAGGACTAAGAGATCGAACTCGTCTGGGACGACCAGCATATTTTAATGATTACGTTATGTTAACATACACTGACGTAATGAAAAGTGTAGATAAAGAGCTTTGGGAGAAAGCGATAAATGAGGAAAAAATGTCTATTGCGAAAAACAAAACCTGGATTCTTGTAAAAACCGAAGAAGCGAAAGGCACAAAAATTTTGAATAGCAAATGGATATTCAAAGGAAAAGAAAATGGAACCAGGAAAGCTAGACTAGTTGTAAGAGGTTTTCAACAAGAAAGAGGAATAGATTTTCAAGAAACATATAGTCCTGTGGTAAATATGACAAGTTTGCGAGTACTTCTTACTATCGTCTGCTGCTGCTAAAGAATTTAAAATAAGAATCTTTGATGTAAAAACAGCGTTTCTTCATGGGGAACTGAAAGACGAAACATTCATGCAAATTCCGGAAGGTTATCCAAAGAAGGAAGGAATGATATGTAAGTTACAGAGAAGTTTATATGGGTTAAGACAATCACCGTTATTGTGGAATCAAACTTTGACGAAGAGGCTCAACAAAATTGGACTTAAACCACTAAAATGCGATAGTTGTATTTTTAAATATGAATCAAATACTGTCTATCTTGCTGTATACGTGGACGACGGAATAATTGTGGGGAAGAATTTGCAAGAGGTAGATGAAATTTTGAACAATATCAAAAAGATGTTCGAAATTACAGTAGATCATTCAGCAGGAACATTCATAGGAATGGAAATTTCACAAGAAACGAATGGAATTCGTTTATCACAGTCTTTGTTCTGCGAACAAGTAGCAGAAAAATTTGGTTTGACTAATGCTAAGGATTCGGAAATACCAATCATGACAAAAGATGAGACTGATCGAAATTTAAAAGGTATTTTCCCATATCGTGAAGCACAGTAGGAAGCCTGCTCTACCTCAGTTCAAAAACACGTCCGGACATCAGTTTTGCTGTTGGAAAGGAATCTCGATACCTGGAAAATCCATCAGACTCGGATGTAAAAAACGTAAAACGTACAATAAAATAATTGACAGGAACCAAACATTTAGGTTTGTTCTTCAAAAAGAATGGAAATTTGAATGAGATGGTAGTGTACACGGATAGCGATTATGCTAATGATCTAGAAAGTAGACGTAGTACTACTGGATATGTATTCCTGTTCCCTTAA